GCTATAGACCTCAATATGATCTGGATAAAATTTCATCAAAATCGATTAATATCTTCAAGTTGCCCCTCGACTTTGAAATTAGTAAATTTACGCATTTCTTAGATACATGTATCAAAATTTGAAAAAATATTTGAATTTCATTACAATTTCAATACAAATCAGACCTGATAAAGCTTAGTCAAACCAGGGTGAAACTGTACATAAAATAATATTTCAGATTTAAATAAACCCAACATTGACAACAGGAAAATTTGATAACAAAGTACAATTACATTTACACTACGCGTCGAAATTAAAGCATCACTTCTCACACCTTCGAAAAATGGATAAACTTCAAAGGAGTATAACTTCTACAAAAACGGTCAAAATGAGATTTTTAAAAAGCATTTTGTAGCTTAATATCTCTACTTTCCAAATCTGTATAATGAAATAACGATTCGGCTGATTTTTATGGAACTACATGATTATAAAGGAAGATCCGTAAAATCTCAAAATTTTTTGTAAACTTTGCACAGTTTCATGCCGTGAATGAAAAGTCGGGCACAAATACAATTCACAGCTTTCGAAAGCGTGATTCTTTACCTTTAATTAATTAATTAATTAATTTTTTTTTACCTCTATACGATTTCTTTTTATCGAGTTATTCAACATTGAAGTAAAAATGGTCCCTTTGACTTTGACTGCTCATAAAAGACGAACGGATTGACGTACAACACTTTAAAAAAAAACAAAAAGAAAGTTCAAAGTTTTCTCTTTAAGATACTTTTATCAATTTTTAGACAGATAAGCTTTTTATGTAAAAACTTAAGTGAAAGGTAAAGTTGAAAACTGAGACAATTTCTATTCAACTCGATCTATTCTGATCAAAAAGAGAGAGAAACTCTACGGTATTAACGTAATTTTACACTTTAGGGTCTACTGATTTCAACGAGGCTCATACAAACAGTTGCGACATTTTTAAATTAATGTCCTTCATGTTCGAAGTTACGATTTTGGGCAAGACGACATTTGCTGATTTGAATTTAATCTTATATCGCAGCATGCGATCACACCGCAGATTAAGCGCCGTAACGTAAGTAAGTTTGCACGTTTACCAGGCAATCTTCTCCAATCTTCACTACGCGCTACGGAGTACTTCTAATATATTCCGCGCTCTAAGCAGTAAACACTTTTGATTTGTCTGCCGAAGAGAAGCAGATTGGGAATACAATTGTTTCATACGTACTTATTGAAACACTGCTGTACATTACGAACATTTTATGCATTTAACGTATGTAAAAACATTTTGAATACCTGTTAGATTTATTAGATCTTTGCGCATCTCTTTGTTATTTTAATCACATTATTTCTAGGATAATCTTCGTGAATTCTTGTGTATAATGCCGCGACAACATCTTACTGAGGGTGCGTTCAGGGAGCTCATTACTGTACTACCAACGCTAACGCTACCATCTCTGTTCACGGAGTCAAGATAGCGCTAGCGAATACAAGCTCTGTGAACAGTAATAGTGTAGTGTTTGCCATAACTATACCGCATACGGCAAAATGGAGCAAGAGCAAGGTTTTTTAGATTCTGCTAGATTCTTTCGTTTTATGCAAAAACGCGTTGAACTAACCTAATTTTATTGATTTTTTTAGATAAACTGTATAATTACAAAATATTGGACAACCATAACTATAATTTTTTGCCGTAATTATTCAGTTTAGCTACCGCACCTCAAAAATCAATAAAATCAGGCTTATTCGACGCGTTTTTGCATGAAACGAAAGAATCTGGCAAAAAAGTGTCGCTCTGCCTTGTGAGCCGAGATATTAAGCGTTAAAGTTGACGACTATTGAGGTTAGGAAATCTGTCACTGTCGCGAAATACTGCGATGCA